CTCTCTACCGTGTCTTCCAGACAGACTTTTCTAATTATTATTATTGTTCCCTTGGGTTCCTAGTGGAACATAGGGCTTCAACAACACGTCTCCACTTGCTTCTGTCTTCTGCTGTACTTTTCACCTGCGTCCATGTTAATCCATACTGTTTCAACTCCTCTTCACACGATCTCCTCCATGTCACCCTTGGACGTCCCACTTGCCACTTCCCTCTCGGGTTCCACTCGAGCGATGGCCTGACGCGTGATGTCACCCAGCAGCCTCCTCAGCGAGTGTCCAATCCATCTCCACTTTCTTCTGCGTATTTGTTGGGCGACTGGTTCTTGTTTTGTTTGTTCCCATAGTTTCTTGTCGGTGATTCTTTCCGGCCATCTGATCTTCAGTATAGAACCAACACAGCTGTTGATAAAGGTCTGCAACAGGCTGTTGGAAATATTCTTTGTGACCCGCCAAGTTTCTGAACCGTATAGAAGAACTGACTTGACGTTTGTATTGAAAATCCGAATTTAGTTGTTGATGCTGAGTGACGAAGATTTCCAGATTGGTTCCAGGTTGATGAATGTGTTTCTCGCCTTACCGATTCTCGATGTGACATCCTCGTCCGTTTCTCCTGTAGTTGAGACAATGCTCCCTAGATAAGTGAATGAAGTAACCTCTTTCAAATCCCTCCCGTTGATGGTGATTGGCGCTAGATGTTGCTGCTGCTGTTGTTGTTGGTTGGTTGGTTATTTTCATAACCTCCGTCTTGTCTATGTTCACCTGGAGTCCTGTCTTTTCTGCTTCTCCGACTAGTTTGTCGGTTTTTGCTTGTTAGTCTTCGATTTTGTGTGACATCAAACATAAATCATCCGGGAAATCCAGGTCTTCTAGATTCTTCACGTCGGTCCAGGATATCCCTGTCTTCTCGTTTCTAATGCTTGAACACAATGCACGCACAATATATGATAGTAATTCATAAATATATTCCTATGACAAGTCCGCGTGTGATCAGATTGTTCAGAATGTGTTGCGCAATTACATTACACGATTCCGACAAAATACATCTTATCGCTTTGTCTAAATTCATAAATGGATCTATTTGTAAACAAACTGTTACATAATTGTTACATTGTTACAAATTGTGCATAAGTATTCATCAGATCAAGTAAAAGATTATGAATAACAATGATTCTGGAGTACTGAATGTGCATGACTAATGTTCACAATATGAATTTTATGCAGTATGATAATCAACTCCATGTGAATGATTGAAAACATTGAAGCAGGGGGAGTGAAAATAGGGCAGGTGGTCATGAGTGGGTTTTGAGGGTGCATCAGTGTATATGTCAACAAGCAAAGCTAAATGAAGAAAATAAAAGATTTATCTCTGCAAATGAAAAGAAAATAGTTGTGTCGTGTGGAGGAAAATAATCATATATGACGAAAGGTCATACTTAAAATATATATGACTCAATACAATGTTTATGATGTTATTTCTTTGATAGTAGCTGGCATTAGGATTCATCCTATTTTGGGACTTGTCAGGTAGATGTAACTGCGTCCCTTCTAAGTGATAGTTTTACCACCGAAACTGGAACCCAAAGCACATTTTTAAGAAACTAAAGTATTATCACAGTAAGCTACTGGGCCTCGAAAGCCACCTATTGTACAATGAGTATCGGCTGTTAATTATTTACAACAGCACATCTAAGTGAACAATATTGTTGTCAAGTTGATTTCATCAGACTTAACTCTAATATGCATAAATTTACAAATAAATATTCAAATATAAACCAATCACGGTGATTTATCAACATGATTGTAAGGTTTTGCATTTGGATTGTTCGACCAGTCACAATAATAATAATGTAAAAATTATATTTGTAAATCCGCGATATTATATAATAATCAACGTTTCGTTCGGCAATCTGGTCCGAACTCGGCGCCCAAATATTTTAGAACTATTCGGTCAAATCTTGACGACAGTTCATTTGAATAATAATAATGATTCTATCAGTAACAAAGATGAAAAATAGAAGCGATCTGTGGTAACAAAAATAATGAAAAACAGCATGATTAAACAAACAAATGTTCAGGTAGAAGTAGTCAATAAAGGCTAAGAAAAACAAATGATACGATTAAGTAATGCTAGATTGTAAGGGAAGCAAATAAACAATGTTTTAATGACGATGTGATAAGACAAAGGGATGACAATAGAAGGACTGAAAATATAAGTAAGGGTTGGTGATGACATCATCGGTTGGTTATGTCTTAATTGGCCAAGTTAAAGATAATGGCTGTACGAACTTCTTTTGAATGCATAGTTTAGGCTTAATAGTTCGAATGTCTATCGCCCCAGTTATATGCAGTAGACGAATACGGAGTCTATTGGAAAGATTCAGTGGAATGCTACGGATCACCTTGAATGCTTTTGTTTTTTTCCACTATATGACCAATGTCAACTAAATGTGACAAAATGGAGCTACGGATTGTTTTTGTCTGTCCTTTGTCAAACCACGATGAGAAATGTTCACGTTGTCTAGACTGTCTAGTAGAAAGCCCAACATAACTGTCTCCGCAGGTGCAGTTGAATTGCTAAATGTACATAGACGTGGCAAACTGTCTAACTTATCCTTCGTTTGATTTGCAAGCATTTGTTTGCTTGAGAATGACAAATATAGATTCGCTGAGTAAAATGTTCGTCGCATAATTCTGGAAAGTCTCTGAAACAAAATCTCAAAACCTGTAATGCTGGGTTTTTGTTAAGATCAACTACCAAGTATCATCATGTTTATCTTCAGAAACCATTGAATCATCCGTACTAAGAGCTGGCACGTAAACAGAGACCAACCATTTTAGGTCGAAAATAATCAGTCAGCGGTAAGTAGAAATTAACTTAAAGAGTATGTAGATTCCACAGTAGACTGAGTTAGTAATAGTGGTTGGACTTGTTTTTCTATGCAAAAATGTATGGCTTTTTCAAGCGAATTGATATCACTTCTGGTGTTTGATTTACTCGGAATCTGATGACTTTCAGCAGTTTACTAGTAAGTTAGATGATAGAAAAGGATTCTTCAATACTGATTTGTTGTGTGTGCATATCAGTTTTGCTAATATCAGACTTTTAATACATTACACCTTTATTTAGCCATACTGATGGGTGTTCTCGAGAAGGGGAAATTCAGTGCTATTAAAAACATTAATTTTGTCAATAACCGTAATTCCTTAACATATAAGGGTGTAACTTGAAGTCAGCTGCTTGATGGTGACTAGCAGTGGAATCCAGGATGCGCATTTCTTCCCATTTGGGACTCGTCACTTGGAAGCATTTGCTGGTCTCGGTGGGAACATCATCACTCACTGGGAAATGCAGGTACATCCAGCTGACAAGTCCCAAATGGGACGGAATGTGCATTCTACATTCCACTGCTAGTCACCATCAACCAATTGACTTCAAGTTACATGCCCAGACATCGTCGAAGCATCTGCATAAGGAGCTGACATGTCCACCTGGGACCGAGTACTTCAGTCTAATTAATCGACGAGAAAATATAAATTTAATTCAATTGGCTTAAGGCTATAGAATTTGAAGAAGTTTTTGGAAAGCAAATTCCTTGTGAAATATTTTTATTCACACAAAAATGAGTTCAGAACATGAGCGGATGAATACAAACCAAACTTTTCAGTGGTGAAAAGTTGACCCCGTGAGCTGATGGTACTGAGTTCAAATTAGTTCATAACTAAGCCGATTCCATTGTCTGATTCTCCTTAGTTTTCAATGATTCCAAGCTCTGAAGAAAAGGATTTTTAAAAAATAATAAATATTGGGGAACTAGAAACTTACAAGTTCATGCAAATAATAAATGATACGCAGTTTGGCTTCTTATGATAATTTTTCATTAAATTAGGGAAAGCTGGATTTGTAACAATATGTGTATTCATTTTATTCCGTAATTTCTTTCTGCTACGTACATTATAAAACACTGCATAGCATATGTTCCGATTTCATGAATTCTTTGTATATATTCGTTAATTCATAACTGAGAAGACACATTCTGAAAATTGGATCATTTTTGAACAAATCAGAATAACCTCTGGTAAAAAAAATATATTTATTACCAGTGGTTAGAATAATGACTCTTTTCTAATATTGCAAAAAATGTTGCTTTCACTCTTAACAACTGTTCATGTTCAAACAACATCAATCCATCTTATCAGTTCAGATTCTTACACGTACAACTCATTCACACCCCCACCCACAGCTGACCTATATTTTATCACTTGCATGACACCATTTTCAATCGTGTGGACTACTTGCATGAACTAATAAATGACACGTTCTTGAAATTTCTGCTTTGATTGCAGTTCGTGATGTGATTTATCTTTTACTCAGTCGATTTCTCATAAATCGTTTAATTTTCTTTTCAGATATCTTAGAATGAACAATTGTAACTGCACCATATTCTGTTTTGAACTCTACTCCTTTTGTTCTATTTATCGTTGTCAAAATCAATAGTGTAGTGTGTGTACGTAGTAGTTAGTGTGAATGATTAAAATTCAACATCTATTGAGAATAATATGTCTGAATTGTTGACATTTATTATCACGCATTACGCAGTATGTCTTATTAGTAAATATAGGGGTCGCGCTATGTCGTGAATTGGCAGAAGTTAGAATTCATGGACAGGCCATTGGATTGGGTCCCAGTGGCTTAATGGTATACGAGCTCGTCTTGTAACCAGAAGGTTCTGGGGTTTGAATCCCGGTGGGTGTGTACTGCTGAAGAGTCCCAAACTAGGATGAAACAGCAGCTGTCCAGTACTCCCAGGTTTTCCAATGGTTCTCTAACTAATGTCAGCTCAGTCAATCAAATCCCTACAAACCAACACTTGAATAGTTATATTTATTAACCAGAGACCTTTGTATGGAATCAGTGTTATTTTACAAACATATTCGTTATTCAAAGTGAACTCAATGCTAATTTCTTTTTTTTTTAAAACTTATTTCTATTGCACAATCAGCTACAAAAGTTAAGCAGGCTAGACCAAATGCTTCAGTTCGTGAAGAGATCCTCTACAGTCATTTGAAACAATTCATGTCTGGATTGTCAGAACAATGTCATCAATCATCAGATCAACTGTCTGTAGACCGAAACTCACCTTCACCACTATCGAATTCACACTCATGGATAAATCATGATAAATCTAATAGTCAAATACTGAAAGCTGATACAGACTGTTTGAGAAAGAAGCCATCAGATGATCCAAATAATGAATTACCAGTATCACAGTATGATTTTGGTCTAAGGATGCCATATAATCCTGGACTTTTAACGCACAGACTTGATATAGCAGTAAGTCGAAAAGGAAATCGTTTGCTTATTCTTCTTATTCTGTATTTAACAAAACTGAGGTGATTAAACAGCATCAACACTTGGCTACTGCTAAAAACTAGGACTTCGGTTGACAGCCTAGAATTTTAAAGATTTCTAGTAAAAGGTATCGTGTAATAAAATGATACCGATGAAGTCATCAAAAGAAATTACAAAAACCAAAACTTGATATTTCGATTGCCATAGGCAAATCATACTTGAACGTCGCCATCTTTTGTAATGTATGCAGAAGAAAAACCGGCCAGCAAGGAGTCTAGTCTTAATTGACGGTGCCATTCAGTCAAGCTGTACTGGAAACTGTTTATCCTCACCTTACCTCCAGGAATGTATTTATTTCAATACATAGAGTGTTCAAGAATCTTATGAAGAGATGTTTATAAAAAATAAAATGAGAATTTGTGGTGATTTAAAAGACAGTAATAATATTTTTATTACTGGGTGTGAGACCTGGCCATTGAGAGCGGAAGACATGAAAAGATTAGCTGTTTTTGATAATAGGTGCCTGCGTTCTATCTCCCGTGTGAAGTGGTACAATAAGGTGAGCAATATTGAGGTTAGGCGTCGATTGCTAGGTAGGTGGGAGGGGAAGTCATTCGACGAGGCTGTGAAATTACATCGATTGAGATGATTAGGACATGTGTTACGTATGCCTAGTCATCGTCTTCCTCGACGAGCAATGTAAGCTGACATAGGGTCAGGCTAGAAAAGAGCTAGCGGCGGTCAAACCAAAACATGGCACTAGTCAATGAAATCCACAAGAGTTAATTTAAGCCACGTAGGAAGGTGTAGGCTTCCTGGTAGGTGTTCTCGGGACGATAAAAACAAATGGTTGGAAACAATTGGTGACATGACTCAAAATCGTTCTCAATGGCGCAGATGCATCCACTCCTTGTGACTTATGATTTCCAATGAAACTGTTTTCTTCTTCGTTATTACTATTCCTTTGTCTCTCACCTCTGTTTACTGTCTATACTATGCATTTCTCCTACTTTCTTCTCTTCCTTTGTGTGCTACATGGAGTGTGGCGACTTGAACTGCCGCACATATGTGCAAAGTTCTATGTCGAAAACAGACAGACAATAATTTTGTGGTGATCGTTTGTATATATGACTGATTGACTGTTACAAGTTTTATATGAACTCAGAGGCTAAATATTAATCAAACAGAATGAAATTAACTTTCAGCTATTCTGCAGTAACATAGCAATAAAACACAGTTACACTCATTAACTACTTACCTCTCTGGATAAACTAGAGAAACCAGCTATAAGATCATTAATCCACTTAGTTTGTGTTGTCACATCTCTAAAGCTGTAGGTGAATACAATAACTAGTTATTTTTCATGATTTCTCAAGAAGAATTCTCATTTTGATGCGATTGTTCTGTGAACTTAGAGAACATATCTTTATGAAAGTGCTAATGAAATGCTTTAAAAAAAAACCGTTTAATATGACAAGTTTTCAAATTATTAGTAAACTTGACCTTCAATCTGTTGTCTGAGTATCATCATGTATTTGTGTGGTCAACTCATACGATATGATATGTTTCATAAGATAATACTGTCAGTGGGAAACAGGTTTGGTTTATTCATTTTCTACGTAAGCATAGCGTCGATCGTAGAATGTTTACCAACCACCAATGTGGTTCAGGTTTGATTCTAAATCAACGCGCACCTAAATCTCACTTAGCCTATAGAAAGTCCGATAAAGACAGCAGGTCGGTTGTCGTAGCTGGTAACGCCCACCTGTGAAAACAACACTATTGGGACTTAATGACTCAAACGTAAAGTCTTGAGTTCCACTCAGAGCACAAATGAGGGGAAAAAACCTCAGCATAGCTACTGAATTGTGCAGTTGAACATCAAAGTATTCATTCATAGTTTTATAATATATAGCTTATAAATGAAGTTAACCTATTATGAATTTTGTATTATATCAAATCACGTAATAGTAGTAATTTAAAACTCTATTCTTTTTCTCATATAACTCTTTAAATCTACAGCTTGATTATTTCTGAGGTATATAAGTGTACGATATATTGTACACTGTAAATATGATGTGATCTTCAGATAGGATTTATAGGATTGTGTTCTTGATATCTCATCGTAGTATTGACTTTTTATTTCTGGTTAGTCATTTTCTCACAGAAAATAGCTTGTCTTATAATTTATAACTGTCAAGAGATTAGTGTAGGCAAATGGTATAGGCAATCCACCATCAGATATGATTAAGGTATGTATATCTGGAAATAATAAAACTTTGTGAGAACAGCACAAACACAAAACTTTTATACTATTCACGGGAGTGATAGTGTTTTATTTGTACGATTCATATCATAAGCTTAGTTACGTTTACAGTCAAATTCAATTATCTTTGTAAGGTAGAAATTCCTAATTGCATCAGACTGTGCACAGGGAACTAGTAGTCAGGGTTGCCCTGTACTAACGATAAGGAGACTCTAGAAGATCTGGATTTCGCTCCTGGATGATTTATGTTTAATGTCACAGAAAATTGAAGACTTGTGGGCGGAAACCGACAAGCTGGCTGAAGAGGCTGGCCTCGAAGACAGAACTCCAGGTGAATATAAAGAAGATGGAAGTGATGAAGATACCCACCAACCAACAACAACAGCCAGCACCAGTCACCATTAACAGGAGAGATTTGACAGAAGTTTCTTCCTTCACTTATCTATGAAGCACAGTTTCAACCACAGGCGGATGGCTCGGATGACGATTTCAAAGCCAGCCAGAATCGGAAGGGTAAGACACGCCTTTATCAACCTGAAACCAGTTTGGAAATCTGCTGCACTCCACAGCATGCATAGAGAACAAGACTTGGATTCTATTCAACATAAATGTGAAGTCTATCAGTCAGCTTTTCTATACGGGTCAGAAAGTTGCACTGCGCACCCGTCACGAAAAGCATTTCCAACAGGTTGCGAACTTTTATCAACAGCTGCCTTCGCTCAATATTTCAAAATCAGATAAATGGCCAGAAAGAATTAGCAACAAGAAACTCTGGCTGGGAACATATCAACCAAGAGCCAATTGCTGAACAAATATGTAGGAGGCAATTGAGATGGATCAATCATACTCTGAAGAGACTGTCGAATGACATCGTGCTATCACCAGGTCATCGCTTGAGTGGAATCTCAATGGGGTGGGACGAGTGGTTCGTTGGTGCGAGAGTGACGTTGAGGAGATGGTGTGAGGAGGAGGGATGGGAGATTATGGGCAATCATGGATCCAGCTGAAGAGGACGGTAGAAAGTGGAACAAAGTTGCGAGGTGTTTTTGAAGCCCTCGGAACGCAAGGGTACAATAATAACAATAAGTAGTAATAGTAGTAGGTTTGTTGATTTGGCAAAGCCAAATGACACTTCCTTTTTTAATTAACCAGTTTACTATACAACTCTATGCTGGTGATTGTATTTCTAAAACCAACTTTGTTATTTTGATTTGACACTAGTAACTAGTGTGATGCGTCTAGTCCTCTCTTTGATGCAGGCTGAATTGTATCAGTCAGGTTGTAATGTGGCCACCATTCTAGGTAGCTCGCCATCACGGTGTACATTGTTTTGATGATATTAGATGGTTGAAGGCAATCGTCAGGAAGCCTTCAAGGTTGCAGATACGCCTTGCTGACGAGTGCCAACTAGCACGAAATTTAGGTCAAAGGCTTTCTGTCGATTGCCTCCAACCATCTAATATCACCAACTTTGTTTCCGGATGGTTTACCTCTATTTCTGTAGATAGAAAATGTATGCTGACTGGACTTGTTTTTATAATAAGTAAAACACCTTTACATACCATACAGTACGAATTTCCAGCGTGTTTTACAATCAAATGTCAATTTACGTTTTAATCAGGATCTTGAAGTAGTGATCTACAGTATATCATTCAGCGGAATAGTATTCAATCTGAAACATGCTACAACCACAACGTTTTTGTCTCTGATTGGTTAATTATCCGAAATTCCTATCCTTGAGCTCGTTAGTATTAATGAATAAGTCTAACTGAAATTATTCTCTAATATCTTGTCTCATTAATCCTAACGTGTTAACACTGAATTTGACCTGTTACCTTAAGATTTATACGCATATTCGTAAGAATATCCGGACCATAGGTAACTTTCTAAACATACTGCGATATCATCGCATATCATAACTGACAAACCAGCAGACTCATGTAAAAATTATAACCGCTTAATTGAAGCCTTATTTCACTTATCTGAAAACGTTTCCTCTGGTCTAAGGATCATTTAATCAGAGGGTACTGTATTTAAGCTTAAGAAGTTAGTCAAATGTTATCACCTGGTCCCCTTAAGAAAATGTTGTAAGCTGACAGCAACAGATTTCACACTTTTTAAGTTGTGTATTTATTAAATCAGATAAGCAAGATAAGAAAACTTTAAGAACAGCGGCTAAAGTTGTCACCTTTTAAAATTGTTCGGCTGCTCAATCATCGTCTAAAGAACTGAAAAATTCAAAACATGCAATTGAGATTAAGACGGTTAACCGTCGCGTGTATATGGGTTTATCTCGTCAGCATATAATTGTCAGGGAATTTTTGAGCATCGGTCAGACAAACACATCTAGTGACTGAATGCCGACATCTAGCACCCACATTAACTGTCAGTTTATCTAGTTTATTTCTGTCAAAGTGGGATATAGGCAAGAAATACTTCAGACCTTGTACTTTTGACGGCTCATTGTTGTACGTTTTCTCAATTTCCTTAAAAGATACATTTTTTCACGACAACAACAACAAAGAAATTAAAGATTAGAAAAGTTATTCGCTAAATGTTTATATGTGTACTTTGTGATTTTACAGGCATGTTCATATTTTACCTCATTCACTTGTCCACTGAGACTTGTCTTTCACGCGTTGGATGCTGGTATCGAACCATTTATGGTTATGTTTAAGGTAATTTATTAAATCTTGTTCAAAGAAAGTGTTTTAGATTTCATTCATTCAACATTCTCTAGTTATTATATGATTCTTTAGATTTGAATAACCAATTTTGCTTGGTGCAAAGTTTTACTGAATGCATAATTCAAGTTTCTGTCATGATTTTGATGAATTTCATCACACAGAGAATCATTAGAGATCAAAAAATACTGGACAGCTGTTTGTTCTGGCTTGGGATTCTTTAATGGCATGCATCAGGGATCACGCCCAAAACTTTCAGTTTATGAAACTATCCCGCCACTGGTTTAGAAATCAGTGATCTGGGAATTTTAACTTCTCCTAGTGTGAGTATGACGTCGGTGGCACAGTGGTTAGGACTCTCGCCGACCATGCACATTGTCCGGGGTTCGATCCCCTACTGACGCACACCTGATATCTATGGTCGGCCTGCAAAGTTTGAGCTACCGATATCACATGCTGAAAATTCCACACCTATACCAAGAAATACGGTGTGAAATCAAGCTGTAATAAAAAAAAAACTGTGTCATCGACCACCATTTGTTGTATCATAGGTTCGATCCATATTGGGGTCATAGGAATGCACTACTGAACATACCGAAACCATGACGAAGCAACTGTCTATTGTGTCTCACTGTTTAGCGATTCCCCAAAGGATGTCATTTCAGTATATGCTACCTGGTGTTCTGTCGTTAAAGTGATTACTGAGATATTTAGTGAAATTATTTTTTCATCCACGTGGACTACTTATTAGTAGACAGTTTTGTTTGAGCAAAATATATTTTAAAGTGCTGTTAGCTGTTGCTTTATGCCATCAAACATTACAAACAAGACAACTGTTTCAACATGTGAAGATTATAGTCTACTGATAACTGTTTACCGGATAACTTCATAGAAATTTGGTGCACCGCGGGCAGTCCCAAAATGTGAAAAGTGCCGAGTAATACATCAACTTAAAATATGCTGGTATTTAGATATGATGAATACACATAATGAAGGGGGAAAAGGCAGTTAAAAACAGTGCCTTTTCAAAAACTATGTCTCCAGATATCTTATAAAATCTATACAAAACTTATTTCACGAATTATTTCTACCCAGACATTACTGAAAACAAGTAGTGCATGGAAGAGGTTCTTTTTTGGCGAATTTGCTTTTCTTTAATTATACAGTCGCAATCGTTCACAATAGTAACGAAAGTGATTAGCTGTCATAAAAGTAGTTGCCGATATCAGTCAATATATAAGAGTAGTCAAATCGGGACATTTGAGTAACCAAATGAGATGAATAATTTAGTAACTTAGTTGTAATCAGGATGCACATTGAAAGGAAGGAAAATGTGATAATACGTAAGATATAAAAGGTTGTAAAGATTTAAAAAACAAACATTGGAAAACAGTAAGATTGTTGTGGTGATCGTAGAAATGGTTGAAAAATTGTTTTTGTATGCACAGCTCCGGCTTCTCTATATGATTGGCTAGAGCTTGAGCAATGCAGAGGATTCAAAGGCGTATTGTCTTTGACAGGTTGTTCTTCACTTTGTAGGAGTATGTTGAGACAGAATGAACAGCCTGAACAGAGTGTTCAGTTGTCCTACTCTGCTTGAGCCATTTTCCAGTTTATACAGTCATGCGGGACAGTATTCTTGAATCCTTTTTCGATGGTTTATCATGTCTAGGTGTTTCATAATCTTGAAACGTGTTTTCAAGTTCTTGCAGATGAGTAGTTTTCACATTATCGTCTAGGTGTTTCTTTTAAATCAACTGGTGGTGATTAACAGAATCTTGTGAAAGATTTATGGATTTTCATAATATACTACAGTGTGATGTAGGTAATTACACATTATTTACATTGGTCTGTAGGTCTTTGATCGAACTGTGAGTGTGATTTGAACATTGGGAAGTTATTTCATATATATATGGTCTCAAGCTTAAAATTTGTGTCAAGGAAGTGTGAAAACAAACTGGTTGAAATACCTATAGTTAGTATTAGTTTAAATTGATGCTTTTCATTAGTATGCTTTTATTTTTGATTCACCACATGGAAAGCGAATAATACAATGCTTATTATTATTCATTTGATATTGTTTGTTATGATCAGGTTGGGGATGATTTACGCCTTGATAGTTTAATATGTCAACTCACATTTCTAATGGATAGAATATGGTTAGACGCTGGATTAGATTTACGTATGATTCACTTTCGTATTATACCGACAGAAGAGCAGAAAGGTTTTATTGAACTGGTAAGTCAATAACACTGCCGATAGTTTTTGTTGTTGATGTTATTCACTAGAAGACATGTCGGAGGTGTATCAGTGGTTTAGTGTTTGAGTTAATGGATGGCAAACTAAAGTTATTTCAAAAACAGAACTTCTTTAATTTCATTCCCTTTTGCGTCCAGAAGAACATAGAGCTTCAGTCTTGAGCTTTAAAGTTCCGGTAGCAGTGGGAATATTTTAAGCGATGCATTTGCTAATCTCACAACCAGCCTTCCCCTCCTTATGGAGCTTACAACTGACTATAGAAGTGCTTTGGTTGGGAGTCGTATCCTGGACCATGTGTGCGCGGTTGGCGAGCATCCTACCGCTGAGCCATCGACACACAACAACAGTACTTATTAAAAGGCGAATTCATCCAGCTGAGGAAATCCAAATAAGACGATTTTATCACTTTGTCCTAGTAGTAGACACAGTATTCATTTATACTGATGTATTCTGACAGAAATCTATATGGGTTTTGTTCGCCGGTAGAAAGAAAAGGAAACAGATGCCTTCATAGACAAATATATAAATTTTTTCTTTCATTTAAAGGTGAACAGTATGGATTGCTTTTTATGTTAGACCACCAAAATATGCATCGTCTAAATGCCTTATATATATAGTGCTAATATGTAATGTATATTTTTAATGCGGTTATCAAATATTTTTTTTTACCGCATTATGTCTTAAACTAAGTTCTGACGGGTAGTGAATGTCTAGCTTGTCTGAAATTCAGTTGCCCTTTTGATAACATTCAGTGAATTCAGAGAATACTTCGTCAAGTGTTCAGATTTATTAAAAAGACTAATGACTTTTCCTTCAGCAGAATATGTGTTTAATGAAAGTATTAATACAAAATGATGGGTGTTTGACGCAAATGTCTACGATTACTGCCTATTCAGATTATTACATGTAAGGGAAGAATATTATTTCGAATTAGATCTCACCAAGATTCGCTCCAGCATAAACACCTTTACAAAGGAATATTAAATATAAACAAATCATGGTGAAAACAATATTATTCGCTTGCATGTGTTTTTCTGAATTTTCATATTATTTTATTATTATTATTCCCTTGGGCTTTGAGTGGAACATAAGGCTTCAGCAGCACATATTTATTTTGTTTTGTTCTCTGCAGCCCTCTTTAGCTGGTCCCACGTTTGCCTATAGGCTGTCATCTCCTCCTCACGCGAGCGCCTCCATTTTACCCTCGGACGCCCAACTCATCGTTTCCTATTCTGGTCTTCTCGACGTTTAGCCTTGAGCGCAATGTCGTCCAGCAGTCTCATCAGCTTGTGTCCTATCCATCTCTATTTCCTTCCGATAGGAATCTTGAATCTCCAGCATTTTTTGTCGATATATAGCTATGCTTTTTTAATTTCCATGATAATACCTAGTTTTATGGGTATTTCCTTTATAAATTAATATACCTCGCAAACATACTGTCTCGTTGTAGAAAAGTTTCAAAGATCTACTGCATTTCGTTTTTTTTTCAGGATACAGTTTAATTTAAACAAATTATTAGGTATCTTTTGTGTTATAGATTGGTGAAAACATTCATAATATATTTTGGATTTTGTTAAGTCTATTCTGTTATGAATCGGTCATTCTTAAAAATAAGTCCTCAGTGTTTTTGTACTACTATCCATTCTCCCTACCGATGTTCAACTTTATTAATGTTCTCCGTTGAGATGTTTAACCTAATCTATTGAGTTCCAGCTATATATATCTAGAGAATATGAACTTTGTGTGTGGCTTAGAGACTTGGTGCTTCAATAAAAGCATTTCAAACAACTTACTATAGACTTCCATCAGTAGCTGCTTTCGCTCCAGGAACTCTGGTAACGAATCAACGGAGAACCATTAGCCCAACATATGTGTATTAGGAAATAGAGATGGATTGGGCACACTGTGAGGAGACTTGCAAGGGAATTCATTCTCTAGGTTCCGAAGTGGAGCCCAAATGGTGAGCGGGAAGTTGGAATTGACTCTGAGAGTGATATGGAGATGATCATGTGAAATGAAAGCTTGTGGACCATAGTGAAACCAGCTGAAAAAGACTTCAGAGAACGGAGTGTAATGGTGAAATGAAATGTTCCACTTGGAATCCAAGGAAATAATGAAAATACAATAATATTACAGGGAACTAATTTATCAGTGTGGTATTTTATATCAACTAACAATAACAAGAAAAGGAATATACCACATGTGATCTATTTTTGTTACACACGTGAACAATAAAAGTTAATGATACCTTTTTAATTTTCACTAACAAATAAACAACACTCAATAAGGCTTTTAAAACATTTGCACATAAGATTATGTGAATTTTGTTCTTAAAAAATAATCATAAAACCCTATTTTTGTTTATGTTTTAGGTATCTGAATGTAGTACACTTCGTCAAATTCAACAACAAGGAGGTGGTTTAACGGGAGCTTTTAAAGAAGGTGTTATCACAAAATGGTTACAATCACAAAATATCACTGAATTGGATTATAAACGAGTTAGTATTAGGGTTTTGTTTTTCAAAAGCAGTTTAATCAAAAATTTAATTATAGATGAGAAATGAAGAGAATATTTGAGGATAATTGTGTTACTTGAACTGTAGGTGAGGCAGTAATTCATCGAAGAAGACATTACGAAGTGATCGCACCATGTCATGAATTGGCAGAAGTTAGAATTCATGGACTGGCCATTGGATCGGGTCCCAGTGGCTTAATGGTCTACCAGCTCGCTTTGTAACCAGAAAGTTCTGGTTTCGAACCCTGGCGGTGGGTGCGTACTACTGAAGAGTTCCAAACTAGGACGAAACAGCTCTCCAGTACTTTCAGATTTTTGGATAGTTCTTCCACTGATGTCAGCTCATGACCAAATCCTCAAACCAGATCAAGTTATTTTATATTACCCACCGCCCACTTCTGGCATATCGTTTTTGTCTTCCATTTATGCTGTATGGAAGGTGTTTAACTGTACGCTTATTCTTCAAGCATATCTCTGTGTCACTGATTCACCTATACAAACCATACTGCCACATCACTAAGTTACTTTATACACCTGGATAAAAATATGCATGTTAAAAATAAAGCATATAAGCATACCAAATTGGATCTTCTTCAGTGCTTTGAACATTCTATCATGATTGTATTGATTTTCCGAGTTAAGGATGCTAGTCTCTCATTATTTGAGCTTAGGATCGGCTGGTAAACTCGGCGAAATTCCAGCTCGATATAAAATACCTGCTAATACAACCCAACTGAATACGTTGTAAATAACTGTGATTGGGAATTCATTATACTGTGGGTGAGCGACTACTTTAAAGAGCTGTACGTCGACACATCTACAGTGATGCGATGAATATTTGGCCAGACAGACAAATACTGATAAACAGATAGATGTACTGTCAACATTAAAGCAGGAAAGTACTGTCTAACAGTCCAGCATATGTGTATATGAAAGTAAGGAAAATCAAATGGAGGAAAGATGAAAACTTGGAAACAATACAGTCAAAATTTGTAGAAAATAACCAAATAAAAGGCGGTAGTGGTCTGAAGCTGGAATAAAAGATCATCAACATCATTAACGATAGCATTTAAAGCACCTCCCAACAACTTTTCCAAATCTTTACAATAAAACAAATCTACCAAGTCTCAAGTATATTTTTGACAGTTTATTAATTGATTCTTTCATTGTATACGTGTTTTTGCATTCTCATGAAAGGCTTTAGACAATTTTCTTCGTTCACTGGCTGGATGTTGTGTAGCAACGTATATACTTGGTGTTGGCGATCGACACAATGATAATATTATGATACGTTATTCTGGTCATGTATTCCATGTTGATTTCTCTAAAGTATTTGGAAATAGTCAAACATTTGCCGGTATTAAACGGTTAGTTAAATATATATATTGTTTTGTTTAGGCTATGGAAATCAGTAGACAGATATCTTCTTTGAATAAGGCACTAAGGAGACAAATTTCGCGAGATGATATAATTTCGTAGTTTCTTTACAACCGCTTTGCAACTAACATGGTTAACAATAATAAAATAAAGCCGATGACAATTACTCAGTTAAATAAAAAACAAAAGTACATACTAATGACCAATCATATTTAGATACGTCATGTTGTCCATGGTAGTCGAAGATTGAAGTCTATTGTTTTTTGTACATACAGTTTAGGTTGTATGTGATTAGTCCAAAGTGCTTCCATCACCTTCAATAACCTTGAATTAGAGTTATGTGAAGTAATTGTGAAACAGTCATTAATATTGATTTTGTGACCTGACATTAAGAAGTGTTTTGCAATGGATGATACTGGATTTCTATTCAGATTAATCGCGTTGGGATTTTCTATATGATTTCGTAGCCATTTTGGAACATGAATCGTCTCGCGAAATTTGTCTTCTTAATGCCTTATTCAAATTTATCAAAGGGACTAATTGTTTTAAGATATCTTCTTATTTATTCATGAAGTTATCACTTGCAATGACTATAATTTATTAGTTGACACTGGTCAATATAACGAATAACGACGGCGGAGTGAGAATTCACGAATGACGTTGAACGCATACTGTCCGTTGGATCCCAAAGCCGTAGATAGTGGGTTGATAGCCCGTTAGGATTAGTATTAGGTTAGTGTGTTTTATTAGAATTACTAGTATCTGCCTTTATTTGCAAGTATGTAAATAGGAGGAGTGTGTCGTTCATACAGGTGAAACTGTTTTGACTAATATGAAACTTGAAAACCGATGCCCTTCAATGTAATTGGGAAGTATTTTTCAGCCACGTCAGCGTAAAATATCGTCTTTAATGTGTTTCATTATTATTCTGATGTATTTTTCTCGTAAACAAACAACACTGGTCACTACAATGTCATTGGTTCGTCTACGCACCACGGTCGCTATTCTTTAGCTTTGCTATAGCTCTGTTATAAAGTAATCAATTAATAAAGTACATTTCCAGCTTCAGGGATACATTTACATTGTGTTTGGTCCTCTGCCATCACTTTCAACTGGCTACAAAACTGCCTAATAACCTTCCGTTTCCTCTTCATACGATCACCTCTAAGTCACCCTTGGACTGAAAGCTACCTCCCATTTTAGTTCCACTAGATGAATTAATTGTTTTATCATTTTGCTTTAAGGTTTCTTCAGGATATGTCTAAGCCAATTCCATTTCCTTCTTCGTATATTTTGAGCAATAAGTCAATGGCTGGTCCGCTACCTACTACAATTCCTTATTGTTTATCCTTTCCTACAAGCTATCTGACCTTCAGTATTCAACAAATAGTAGCTGTTGCTGAAAGTCTTCATACTGTCAGAAATGCTTTTTTATGTGAAGCATGCAGAAGCTCTAGATTTACATTCATTTTAAAAATTCGTATTTTGTTCCTTGTGCTAAGAACTATAGATCTCCACACTGATATCAGAAATTTGCCCGTATGTCTTGCCTTTCCCGTTTCTGATTAACTTCATCCTTAAGTGTTCAATCCAGACTACATTTCAACTCCAGAAGTTGAAAAATCGTTTTTCGTTAGTGCCAAATAACTGTAGGCGTTTACTTGATCGCCATTTTAACTAACAGCCTGTTGAGAATATCAAGATAAAATTCATTCAACTTGGAAATAAATATTTATCTAACCTGTACCTCTTGATACTCTTCAGAATAAAAATTTGTAGATTATATTTTACTCTCATACTGTGTATTCTCACTAATTTTCTCTTTGTTTCATTCTACAGAGATCGTGTGCCATTTGTTTTGACACAAGATATGTTACATGTATTAAATACATACTCTAAGGATATGACAGGTTCAATGCATCATTTAAACAATTCATCAGGATTTGGTTATACACCTGGTCATAATTCTAATCATCCACAACAAGGTGTACAATTGTTTATAGAAAAATGTTGTGAGGCGTATAACTTAATTAGACATCGTTCATATCAGCTTATTTCACTACTAGAATTGGTAAGTGCTCGATGGGTTTCATAAGTTGTTCTATTTTTTTACGGTATTTACTATGACATGGTATTTGGGAGGTGTAGTTCATTGGCTCTAGAGAAGATCTGGAAAGTCTTGATTTCGTGGATAATTTATATTTAGAGTCGCACAAAATAAAAACTTGCAGGTGAAAACCAACAAACTGGCTGAAGAGGCTGGCAGCGAAGACAGGACTTCACGTGAACATAGAGAAGACGAAAGTGATGAAGATGGCCAACAAACTGCAACAATAACAGCAACCAGCACCAGTTGCCATCAACCGGAGAGATTTGACAGAGGTTACTTCCTCCACTTATCTGACTAGGGAGCACGGTTTCAACCACAGGCGGATAACACAGGTGAAGATATCAAAACCAGCTAGAATCGGGAAGGCAAGATACACCTTCATTAACTTGAAACCAGCTCGAAAATCTTCTTCACTGCATTCAGCCAGCATAAATAACATGATTCGGATTCTATTCAACACAAATTTGAAGTAGGTCACTGCTTGTATAGAGGTCAGAAACTTGCACTGCGCACTCGTCACGAAAAGCATTTCCAACAAGTCACAGCAGACTTTTATCAACAGCTGCCTCCTTCGATGGCTCCACACTGAAGATCAAATGGCTGGCCGGCCGGCCAGAAAGAATTAGCAACAAGAAAATCTGGCTGGGAACAAACCAAGCAAGAGCCAACTGTTCAACAAATATGTAGGAGGAAATGGAGATGGATAGTACATACACTAAGGAGGCCGTCGAATGACATCGCGCTATAGCCAGGCCATCGCTCGAGTGGAACCCCAATGGGCAGGAACGAGTGGGTCGTCCGTGGTAGTGTGATATGGAGGGTATCGGGTGTTGGGGAGGAGTAGATGAGAGATTATGGTCAATCGTGGATCCAGATGAAGAGGACAGTAGAAAATAAAACAAAGTGGAGATGTCTTGTTGAAGCCCTTTGTTCCACTTGGAACCCGAAGGAACAATAATGAATAATAATAATTCATTGGCTTAAGCACTCGGGTTTCAGCCAATGGGCCCCGGTCTCGAGTCCAGCTTCACCCACTTCAAACTAGGCACCTGGTTAGTATCATTAATACTCACACAATAAGTGTGGCTCATAGCCCAATACTGGGTAACTGAGTAATAACTAACTTCGTATTTTGTCAGATAGCATAACTATTACAGTTCCAGTAAATTTTGGAATCTTAAGCAATCAAATCATGAAATGTAGTACATTTTTTGCATGAAAGTTTGAAAGGTTTCTTGAATTTTGACTTATGAATTTCTTTCAAAGCAAATATGTTTAATTAAAAGTATATGATTGCTTCTTACAAAAGTATTGGTTTTTCAAATGAGTTCTTGAAAATTCCATATTTGTAATGTTAAACAAATGAAGGTTTACATAGAACAGCAGGGACTCCCATTACTTGAAATGCTCTAAGAGACGTTTTGTAAAATTTGAAAGTGCTAACTGCGAAATAACTTTTTAACCATTGCAATACTGACCAATGAAGCTATGTTTATTAATCTGGAGGGATAACTAGCAACGTGTTATGATGGAGTGCTCTGTATGTATTTAAGTAATAATTTATTGGTTACAGGTTCGACCACGAGTTGACTTCAATTAGAGAACCACTGGAAAACCTAGGAGTGCTGGACAGCCGTCTCTTCATAGTTTTGGACTCACTGGCAGTACGCTCCCATCAGCGTTCGAACCCAGGACCTCCGGTTACAAGGTGATCTCATTTACCATTTCGCCACTGGGACGGGATCCAGCGACTCTGAGTTCGGACTCCTGCATTTGCGTACTGATGCAGAGTTCCAGACTAAGACGAAACAGCTGTCCACTACTCGCTGGTTGCCCAGTAGACCTCTAACTAGTGTCAATTCTTGATAAAACCTGTAATCAATCAAATCCCTACAAACCAACACTAGAATTCGTAATATTTTATACGCATCAAGAATAAGTACCCGATAATTTTGGGAAAAAGAGTGTTTTCCCAGGAGTTTGAACATAGGTCATAAACTTCATCACTGAGTTATAACAACCTCAGTTACTGAAATTGTGTAGCACCTGGTTGTTAAACGACGGTGATTTTAAACACATTTACTTTTCTCCTTCATATTGTTTTATTTCATTATCCAGTATACAAGCAACTTTTCCAAACACTGAAATATGCCCTTTTCACTTTAATCTTATAGAGTTTATCAATGAATATTCCTGGACTGAACCGTGATTGTGTTCGATTTGTCTTGAGGGCTCTGAGGCCAGAATTGAACGATCAAGAAGCAAGCCAATATTTTACTGAGTAAGATGCTGAATAATTTTCTTTTAAAAATTGTGCATTACTGCATTTAATTAAACCACTGGTAACTCTCTCCATGAAAACAAACGGTGATGGGTATTTTAAATAGAATTTTGCGTACGAATGTTACCGAAAGTATGTATTAAGGTGGTAGGTTTAATCAACATACGGAAAAAAATAAGGTATTACAACAAATGTAACTATACTTTCCTCACTTCACTGGATCAGTAACTAATGAACACATAGACTTCATTTCAGTAATAGCAGTTTAAAGTGTGTTTTGTTAAGCGATAGGATAATCCGTCTGTTTTCAAAAAGGTGTTTGCCGCTGTATGTAGACAGCTGTAATCTTCAAGACTAAATCAGACTAAAGAATTAGTATAAATTGGTGTGTATTAATTAGTGCAGCTCCGTTCTATCTTTAGATGGAAAGTTTCAGAGACAAAGACGGATTACGGCTATATACCTGTCTGATAATCAGTTCATAATTTATGAAACGATATAGATTCAATACATCAACTCAAATTTCAATACTTTTAAGCCATTTCGACTATGATGTGGAGTTAATGGCTTTTATTGTTCTAAAAATACAACGAAGTAAGCTAAAGTCTGCCTACCTGACTCTATTAAATAAAGACAGCGACTCAGGGATTGACTTGCTACCGGGGAATAATCTCGTCGACTTAGAATATGCGGACGATATAGTCCTTCTAGGTGAGGACGCTGACAAAATGCAGAGTCTACTGAACACCTTGAGCAACAATCTTCGTATGTTTGGCATGCGATTCGCCCCTGTAAAATGTAAGATGATGCTGCAGGATTGGACTTCACCGACCTCTAGATTAGAAATAGGAAGTGAAGTGGTACAGCACGTTGACCGCTTCACTTATTTGGGAAGTACCATCAGCCCCAACGGGTTGATCTCTGACGAAATCTCAGCACGAATACAGAGGGCTAGGTTCGCATATGCCAGTTTACGCCATCTCTGGCGTAGACGCGATATCCGACTATCGACCAAAGGGCGTGTGTACTGCTTAACAGTCCGCTCCATCCTCCTTTATGGCTGTGAGACCTGGCCATTGAGAGCAGAAGACATGAAAAGATTAGCTGTCTTCGATCATAGGTGTCTGCGTTCTATCTCCCGCGTGAAGTGGTATAATAAGGTGAGCAATATTGAGGTTAGGCGTCGAGTGCTAGGTAAGGCGGGAAAATCAGTCGACGAAACTGTGAAATTACATCGACTGAGATGGTTAAGACATGTGTTACGTATGCCTAGTCATCGCCTTCCTCGACGGACAATGTTACCTGATATAGGATCAGGCTGGAAAAGAGCTAGCGGCGGTCAAACCAAAACATGGCACCAGTCAATGAAATCCACAACAGTTAGTCTAAGTCACGTAGGAAGGTGTAGACTTCCTGACTGGTTGGGGTCCTCGGGACGGTAAAAACCAATGGTTGGGAACAATTGGTGACATGGCTCAAAATCGTTCTCAGTGGCGCAGATGCATCCACTCCTTGTGACTTATGATTTCCAATGAAACTGTTTTGTTCTTCGTTATTACTATTCCTTTGTCTCACACCTCAACTTTCTGTCTATATTATGCATTTCTCCTACTTTCTTCTCTTGCTTTGTGTGCTACATGGAGTGTGGCGACTTGAACTGCCGCACATATGTGCAAAGTTCTATGTCGAAAACCGACCGACTGATTAAATAAAGAGCCATTTTTGAATTAGTGGTAAACACGAGCCTGACCCTTCTAATTGTCATAACTTGTCAGACTGCATAGTACACATATTTCAATCACCTTAGCAGGGGTAAATACCTCGTATTTTCACCTTATATGATTTACTAAATCAAATATACCTCTTAGTTTTAAACAACCTTTGAATAGAATGATAGTTAATTTCGTTTAGTTTAAACATCATACTGCATATGTGTGTATTAGAAGAGCATTATTCTTCTTGCTGTAAGTAATCTCTCCTTGACCTTGCATTCTGATAGTATTTTTATACCGAAGGCGTGACATATTGTTAACTGCTTGAAAATACCCATTGTAAGTCGAGTGAGAAAGAGAAAATTGTTTTCGATAACTTTCTCTTCAGTTTCTATAGTTATATAATAATAATAATTTGCTTTATTCCAAAACAGCACTTGTGATACAGAATGGAATTCTCAGCATTTTTACTACAGTATTGCATCCAGTTAGTACATTATCCATAAATAGAATTCTACATAGATTGAGGAAACCAACAGTTCATTATTACAACAATACATTGGCATGTCAGTAGCAAAGGTAGTATATATATATATACATATACATATATACATATACATATATTCCTTATATATATATATATGTATATATATATAGTTATATAGATGAGGAATAATTGTTATCAATCACATTAATTTTCAAGAGTGCGTTTGTAGGGATTTGATTTGTTCCGAACTGCTACAAACTTACTTTTGAAAATTAATTTGGTGCTTGCTAGTGACTGGTTACTGGAAGAAGTTCCCTGGAGTTATAGTGAGAAGTCGTGACCGGTCGGGACCACTCGGTCAGGAGTGAGGACAAATACTTGCCAGTGATATTGACTGGTGGTCATGCTAAAATTATGAGTTGGTAAAAGTTAGAACTCATCGACCATTGGTCTACGAGCTCATCTTGAAACCGGAAGGTCCTTATTTCGAAACCTGGTGGATGTGTACTGCCGATGAGTCCCAAGCTAGGACGAAACAGCTATCTAGTACTCCATTGTTTTCAATGGTGCTCTAACTGATATCACCTCGTGATCAAACTTTGAATAATATTTATGTTTTTTTTATAACATGGAATCATTAGGATCAAAACATCCGGGAGATTTATGTGAGTTAACTGTTACAAGATTACAGTACAAAATATGTAATCAGACAGAATAGAGTTAACCTCATCCGCTAATCACAAGTATTCACTAGTATATCCACTCATTATCATTCATAATAATTTACTCTAAAATCTGATCCGCAATCTGTTGCCATATTATCACATGTGTATGTTTTTGACTGTAACCTGGTAACAATTCACTCACATGTACCTCTCTTATGTTTCCCTTCTAATCATTCGATGTTATTGAAGAACGTTAATGCTATTGATAACAATTATTTCTCAACTAATGTGAACACATAACTGTAGAACTAAAAGATAGTCATGTCAATTGTTTATACATTCATCTAGGTATTCAGGATCACATTATTCAGTAAATTTTGATATATCAAAATATCCGTTACAAATGACATGTTTTCAGATACACAAATAATTTAGATGAAAACACTTATTCATGTGAACTGTGATCAAGATTTGACCGAATAGTTCTACAATAATTGGGAACCGAGTGAGAAGTAGACATATGTAACAATTATATTTGTAAAAATCTCAGTGAAGTTGAAATAAGTAATTCCAACGTTTCCTGCGTTCGGCAAACTGGTCCAACTTCTTCAGGGAAATTAATCGAAATTAAAATAACAGAGGTTTATATATAAGAATTTTTTCCAGTCATGAGTCATGATTTAGGCATCAAAATGTAATAAACGAAATTGCATGAACTGTGATCAAAATATGACCTCAGACTTATTAGTCTAGTTTTATTAAACACGGTAAACGGTGTGTTATTTTTTTTAGTTTTACCACGGGTTAATATCAGTTAGAGAACCATTGAAAACCAGGGAGTACTGGACAGCTGTTTCGTCCTAGTTTGGGACTCATCGGTAATACGCACTCACCACCCAGGTTCGAACCCAGGAGCTTCCGGTTACAAGGGAACTGATTCAATAGTCAGCCCATGAATTCTAACTTCTACCGATTCGTGATTTAGCGCGGCCACCAACCAGTGTCATTGGTGGGACATCCATCCTCACACTTGACTGAATGGATCTCACTGGTCACGACTTTTCACTAGAACCCCAGGAAACTCCATCCTGTAGGAAGTCACTAGCCAGCATCAGATTAATTTTCAGAGTTGATTTGTGAGGATTAGATTTGTTTTTCCAGTTTGGTTGTCTTCTTCCACTTTACCCTTGAACTTCACCAATGATTACCGTGAGGTGTACTTTTTCATCAGATGTTTAGTGATTACGTTCGACTTAAGTCCATAGTCGAAGATAAAAGAATATGAAAAAATATATGTGTATATGCGGTATACAATAGTGTGTGTGCATGTGTGTATGGGGAAACAATGGTAAATCGTTTGTTACCTTCTGCATAAGAAGATATAAACAAATGGGAATTTAGATCAAGTATGATTGATTAATGATACATATCCATTTTTGTTTATTAGTCAGAACTTACCATGCATCAGCTAACATCGCGCCTTCACGTCTGTTCAAACTTTTGGGATTCGCCCATGTATGTAGGGCTTCTGCAGTCAGTCTTTCTTTATACGAACCAAAAGCCTTCTGTAGAACTTTAGTCCCATCAAAGTCGATCTTGTGTCCCGTTTCTATATAGTGTAGTGCAGTCGCTGATCTGTTTAGTTTCTTCAAGTCTGCAGAGGTCTTAGGAACCACCTTTAGACGTTGTTCATGCTCTTTCACTCTTACATTTACCTGTCTATAAGTTTCTCCTACAAATATGGCGTCACAGTCCCCACAGTCGATCTTGTACACACAGTTCTGTTTGTTGTCTTCTTCTATTTTATCCTTGACCTTCACTAGTGATGAGCGTAAGGTGTTAGTTGCATGAAAACGAACTCTTATGTTGTGATTGTTAAAGATTCACTTTAACTGATCCGATGTTTCTTTGCGGTAGGGAATTACCACTGTACTAACCCAAGTCTAAGCAACACATTTCGATTCATCCTTATCTTCACGTTTTAAATATCTTCTTACTAAACTTCTTATTTTTACTTTATTCCTTTATGTTTTGGATGGAACATTGGACTTCCAGAGTGAGCCTTAAAGTCGTAAAACAGCAGAAGTGTTTATTATTTATGGAGTGAAGTTCCTAACCTCACGTCAAATTTTTCCCAGTTACCTAGCCTGATACCGGCTAAAATGAGGTTTAAGATTACACTAGTCGAGGAATTAGACCATAGGTTATTTGTGTGGTTGACGAGTATTCCACGAGTAAACCACTAGACAAATTTTATAATATGTTACTACGCTTATTCTGTAAACACAGTAACACTTTTCGGGAAATACACCTTCGAGAATGTAAATTTGAAACAGCTTACTGATAGAATGAGAAAGCGTAAACTGAGAAATTATTACAAGAACAGAAGCTGTTCAAAACTCATTGAACTAATCGAAGAAATAATCTTTATTTCACTGACACAATTTAAGGCATGTGTTTAAGAAATTTTTCATTTCACTAGTTTTCAGTAAATCTTTCAAATAAGTAATTTATCTTTATTTCACAGACTAGTTCGTAAAACCCTACAATCGAAATCTTCCAGTTTTAATTTCTTTGTACATGGATTGGCGCAAGTTAAACAAGCTTCCTTAGGAGGAGGAGTTTCTGGTACAAATACGAATATGTCAAATTTATCTGAAAGAGGTTCTCCTTCGAAAATAAATAGTGGAGCCGATGACCATTTCACCTCAGTTAATAGTAGTAGTACTAATTCTAACATTTCAAGTAGTACTGGAAGATTTGTCAATGATTCGAAATCTCGATCAACTCCACCCACAAATCCTTCTGGAACTGGACAAATATTTAGCTTTAATCCAAAGCGTTTCACGTAAGTTTTATCTTATGCAATGCGTATTGTAAACTGATCTGTCCTGGAGAATAGTCTACAACTGTTGTACATTAGATAATATTTCTTGTTATTTTTCCTCTAGTTTATTTATCAAGAGTAATTTTCACACGATAAACATTTTTCTTCGCGAAGAATTTTACCTTAGATTTTAACATAAACAGATTAACCCGAAACTAATTCATAAAATTCGAATAGCTGAACTCTAAACCATGTTGGTTGAATGAATTGTCGAAAAGCTTTAATTTGTTGGAACATTCACTAATCTTGAAAAAGAGTCACAAAACCATTTTCTAAACACAAAGTCCCTCTTTAAAACCTTGGAAATCTCTAGTACTTTTAAAAAATCCCAATCTACCTATCTAGGTTAATCTTTTCTAAGAAAAAAAAATCAATTTTTAGTTTAGTCTTGCTACCTATAAAGCTGAGATTGTGTTGCACAAAGTAATTCAAAGATTGATGTCGACATTTTGAGACGAAATGTCTTTGGAAAAGTTGTGTTTCCTATTCTGTTATTTGATAGTCTGTGGTTGTAAGCTGAACTCAGGACGAACGTATCTTTCTATTTTGGATTCGCTACCTGGATGTACTTGTCTTGAAGTAGGTAGCGGTTTCCCCATCTGAGACCGGAATGCAGTGCCAGTTGCTTCGAATGCTAAGTCGTTATTGATTATTGGGCTGTGAAAGCTACCTCTTTTGTAAAGGAAAATCAATTTTTCTATACTGAAATACGGGTATTCAAAGATTTAGTTTTACTGGATTTAAGTTATAGTTTTTAGTTCCAGCAATCTGTATGACTAAAACAGGGTAACTATCCATACCTGATAAAGCCAAATAGTGAGAAACCCACATTTCAGTAAACATTGTTTGCCATACGGCTTCATCAGGTCGCAGCCCAAGTAATACTCTTTCAACCTGTTGTTTCACTTTAAATGATACAAGCTTTATGTAAGATATCTAAACAATTGATCACTAGGTGGATATCAAAAATATATATAACGCGATACTACAACAACAGTTACTAATCATTTTCAGCGGAATGGTTTAAGTAATAGAAAACTTTCACATAAAAAGTTTTAAGGAAATAAGAAAGAGTATAGTGTCATAGTTTGCTTAACTGATGACGAAGCTCGAACTAACTCCATAAATGGTTGACAAAAAGATTGAGTGCAATACTGCCTAATATGTAATTCAGATATCAAAACCACACAGTGGACACATGTTAAGACCCGTTATTATTCCCTTGGGTTCCTAGTGTAACATAGCACTTCAACGGCAAATCTGCACTTTGTTCTATTCTCTGCCGTCTTCTTTATCTGGGTCCACGATTGACCGAAATTTCTCATCTCCTCTCCTCCTCAACACCCGATCTCCTCCATATCACCCTCACACCGACGATCCACTCGTCTCTTCCTATTGGGATTCCACTCGAGCGATGGCCTGACTACAGCGCGATGTCACTCGACGGCCTCCTCAGTGTATGTACTATCCATCTCCATTTCCTCTCGCATATTTGATGAGCAGTCAGCTGAGTGAAGCAGAAGATTTGCGAACTGGTTTCAGTTTGATGAAGGCGTATTTTGCCTTTCCGATTATGGCTGGTTGGCTGCTTTTGACATCTTCATCCAAGCCATCCGCCTGTGGTTGAAACAATGCTTCCTAGATAGGTGAAGGAAGTAACCTCTGTCGAATCTTTCCAGCTGATGGTAACTGGTGCTGGTTGTTGTTGTTTTTGCGGTTCGTTGGATACCTTCATCACCTCCGTCTTCTCTATATTCACCTGGAGTCTTTTCTTCGCTGTCAGCCTCTTCAGCCAGCTTGTCGGTTCTTGCCTGCATGTTTTCGAGTTTGTGTGACATTAAACATAAATCATCCAGGCGCGAAATCCAGATCTTCTAGAGTCTCCTTACCTGTAGTCCAGCGTATTCCTGACTCCTTGCTCCCTGTGCACAGTCTGACACATAATCCAGTCCACCACAATTAAGAATATTATCATCGGTGATAATAGACATGTTGCCTTGTTTTGCTTCAGTATTCATTCCAAATACCCCACTGAGTTTTCTGTTGTCGACCACCTGATACGTGGCAGTGTCATACAGCCAGCTGTGGAATGAGGTTGATAAAGACCTGGGCACTGCACGCTGTAGTGTTGAAGGCCTTTTTGGAGTCGATGAAGTTGAGGTCGAGAAAGGTTTGACTGCCATTCTATGCTCTGTTCTGTGATGACGATCCGTAGACTTGCAATTCCATCAGCACATGATTCTTCTTTCCTCATTTTATGACTTAGTAAATTAAGCGATGTACGATACACCATAAACACTGATCACGGTGTTACTTCTTTCCTGATTCATAATAAGCATAAGTGTACTGAAGTTATCCCATTCAACATGATATAAAGGATATAAATATATTTCACTTTTGAATTAACAGTATAATTTACAATTGTTTACATCCTATACAAACATATTTAGTGTCATCTGATTAGTTTACAGATTGTTTCAAAGAAAGTCTTCATTCTTTTAGGTATGTATTTCTAATCTAAGAAATTGAGAAAGCTGTATATCTTATGACTTTACTTGCTGAATTCTGTTTTATTCTCTCTTTAGACTAAATATTTTTAGTCACAATCTTTTTCTCTCTATTATTTCTGGTGTAATAAAGTCATCTGTAATTTCCATAGCTTGTGATTGATATTTATTCTCAAATTTATTCCCACGTATATTATTGTAAGATGAATAGTCACAGTCGCCTAAAGATTGACACCTACTCTCATGTTACTATGGTTGTGCTTGCACAAATTTTATCAGTAGTAATTAAGTACACTGAGTTCACTGTGTACAAAAAAAAGAAGACAGTTTTTTTTCTTTTGATGAGCATATTTTCCCAATCTGAAAACAGGGAATACGACTCTAGGATAAATTCCTCTATCTGGTGGTGAAAGTTATCAAGAAATTAGAAATATCATTCTCAAGCTGTACAAACCACAAATTTATAGTAATTTTCTCTTGGCAACAAAAGGAATATTTTCAAAGATGTGTTAATGCAATTGTTAATTTTTTTTTGACAACAAATTACGTAATTTAGAAGGCGTTAATCGGTTAGAAACTAAAATAAAGTTACAAAAGTAGGTTGGGTGACATAATCTAATTGATAGGGTTCAATGAAAAATGAATGAGAGTCAAGTTAATAATCTGAGTAGAATTCACTTAAAAATAAACGAAAATGAAGTTAGCAACAGTCGTCATGAGGGTAGGGATTTCTACCCCCATCCTCTATTAAATCCCTACCCTCATGACGACTGTTGCTAACTTCATTTTCGTTTATTTTTAAGTGAATTCTACTCAGATTATTAACTTGACTCTCATTCATTTTTCATTGAACCCTATCAATTAGATTATGTCACCCAACCTACTTTTGTAACTTTATTTTAGTTTCTAACCGATTAACGTCTTGTAAATTACGAAATTTGTTGTCACAAAATTAACAATTGCATTAACACATCTTTGAAAATATTTCTCTTGTTGCCAAGACAAATTACTATAAGTTTGCGGTCTGTACAGCTTGAGAATGATATCACCGAAAAGAGTAACTCTTTGCTGAAATTAGAAATAAGTTAATAAGATGTTAGCAGAAGTTGTATCATAGAATTTTTAACAATTTAGACAATATAGTGAATTGAAATTTTGAACGTGTTAAATATAAGATAACTGCCTAAATAGAACGGCAGTGAAAAGTACAACTAGTGATAACGCTGAGATTGAAATTAAAAAGTCTAAATAGTGGGCACGTTGAAACTTCCAGAAGTTCAGAAATAATAGCTTCTTTTCGGTAAAACTTTATGAAAGAATACTAAATATTTGTTCGCAGCACAAATGTGAACTATAACGTCTCTTTATTTGTAGGGATTTGATTTGTTCTGAGTTTGATTATAGATTGATACTGGTTAGAGAACCATTCAAAAACCAGAGAGTGCTGGACAGATGTTTGATAATAGTTCGGGACTCATTGGCTTTCGAAACGAGGTGAACTCGTAGACCATTCAACCGTTGGTATATGATCCAATGACTAATGAGTTCCAACTTTTATTCATTCGTGATTTTAGCGTGACCACCAGCCAACATCGTCGGTGAGTATTTGTCCTCACTCCAAACCGGGTGAGCTCGTTGACCTTTCAGGCACTGGTACCCACCGCAATTCCCATTGGGTGCTTGCTGCCGAAGAGTTCCAAACTAGGACGAAGCAGCTATCTAGTACTTCCTTGTTTTCAGTGGTTCGCTAACGATGGGAGACGAGAGACTTGGCAGCGGAATGTATATTTGTAATTTGGTATCTCTATTTAGCAAAATTATGTATACTTTATGTTCAACTCACCATTTGCACAGATCTTACGCATTGTGCTAATTCTGGTCTTCATATTGTATTTCTTTGTATTCCTTTTATGTCTCTCATGTATCTCTGCAAAGCTCTATCGTTTGTTTTCTTTGAATTCAAATTTATCTCCCTGCTATTTGATGTTTTTATGCCGATAAACGTCTCTTTATAGACTACTGATAGATATTATCAGTAGCCCACACCGCAATATCACCTTATGATCAAACTTGAAAAAATAAAGGCTTTATTCTGGGCAAAATTGTGATGGTGTGCAGAATTTTTAGTGTAATTTATTGCAGAATATATGTTTCTCCTCATTTAGGATCTTCAAGTAAAATAATAATTTATAGTATATCAAGCAACACAGTTCTATTGGATTTGAAGCACAGACCAATCTCTTATGATATATTTTCTTCATCTTCGAGAAATGCGCACAATTAAATTTAGAAGCCAGTTGAAAATATACAGTAGTAAACTTTGCGACTAAAGGATATAACTCAGTGGTTAAAAAGACGAGAATTAGAAAGAAATGTGATGCATTGTATTCGGTGGAAATTCAGATAGCCTAATGATTCAAGTAGGCTACAAATATAATCACTGATGTTAAGTGGTTTAATTTGGAGTGGAAGATTACATTTGAAGCAGCTGAATCCCTGTAGTATACGACACATCTAAGCCCTATTTAACTCTCTCAACACAAGACAATAATAACTGACACCAGATTTAGTAAGCTGTGCTCAAAATGCTGTTACTTCGCTCAATATTTCCTTCATACACTAAGTAATGAGTCATTACTGTTTCCAGGCCGTTTACAGCCGTTTAATGTTGAAGGGTTCTAGAAATTAAAATAGTTTATTCTAGACGTAGAACGCTTACCAACCACACTCGTAAGCCGGGGTTCGACTCTCAGCCGACGCTCTCCAAAACTTCGCCAAGCCGATAATAAAGACGTAAAGTTAGGTGTGAGGCTAGCAAACCCACCTGGTAAAAATAAAACCAATTCTACCGAAATTTCATAGCTGATGTCCTATGTTCCACTTGGAACGTAAATGAATAAAATAAGTAATAATAACAACAATAAAGTATATTCAGAAGAATATCTGCAACAGTGTGGCTTTGGAAGTCGAAAATCAGTTAGAAAAACTCAGCCTAACATTATAAAACATCTCTACACAGTTCTTCATTTGTATTTTGGTTGAATGTGTGTCAGTGGCACACCGGTAGAATGCTCGCCAACCACATAGTGGTGCGGGGTTCGATTCCCAGCCGATTCACTCCTTTACATCACTAAGCCAGTAATAAGACTGGCAAAGAGAGAAGGTTGGGTATGAGGCTAGCAACCCCATTCCGTAAAAAAAAACACCATTACTGTCGAAACTTCAAGCCTCTAGCTTGGAGCCTTATGTTCCACTGGGGTCGTAATGGAATAAAAAAAGCTTTTTATTGAAAAATAAACATCTTGCAACATGTATTTTCAGAAATATTTGAGTGTCCTGAAGATATTTTCAGATGGCAACTATGTGACTGAAATACTAAGTAGTATTGCCATTTATTCCTTTAAAACGAGTTTTAGGGATATAGAGTGTATTGTGAATCTGATAAAATCATTTTTCAATGGATCTTTAAAGAAGACTTAACAGCTTTCTTTGGTCATCTTGAATAGCGGAAATTCGGGTAACTATCTTTAGTTACTTTTATAAAGTATAAAAATTGTATTTTGCAAACCTGAGATGAACACAACCAGCTACAGAAGTATTCTTCTAAGACTTTCTTTTAAACTGCCAACCTTATATCTATAAATAGGACAGAATTTCATTCTTTAAAAAATGATGTAACTATAACAAAATACATCTAAATATAGTAGGTGTCTATGAAGGCTTTATTCTATCCAACTGATATTCCATAAATTAATCATCAAGTTCATATTTGTCGCCATTACCTCATTTTATCCTCCCAAAATGAAGAGAATTTTTCCAATGCTTGTAATGAGAATACTGTCTCTCTTTCCGTCTGTCTCTGGAAAGTAACATGGACGCTGTAGTCTAATCTACTTACAGTAATACTATGTAATTGGTTCAAGCTCTGATACTGAAGCAAAATTCATTTCTTAGTCTGAATACATTCAAATTCATCACTCATCTATTGTGTGTTTCTTACTTGTTACAGCTTTTTTTCTCCTTTATTTCCTGGAAAAAAAAATTAAATTATTCATAAAGTAGATGCTTTTATTTTTAGGAAAAAGTAATACGTTTTAACTTTATTCATAAAATAAAAATCGTTATATTAATTATTAATTATTTCATTATTATCTACAAAATAATTGTGTTTTATAAGTTCACTTTTTCTGAAAAACTTTTTTTATAATAACAGTAATAATAGTAATAATCGAGAATAAATAAATCATGTACTATCATACACCAAATAAAGTGTGAGGTGAACTGTCTCTTGTCTAAGCTAGTGTGAATGTGCATTTCGATGTACAAAATAGTCGTTCACTTGTTTAATTCAAGCCTTCCTTCAAGCCACACGAGTGATATAATCTTATAGAAGTATGTATTTGTAAAACAAATTGTTTATTGAACAGATTACAATATGTAATGTGATGTGTAACTAATATGAAGTTGTTGATGAATGTCCTAGACGCTCAAATTGCATCCGATGTTTACAGTTAGTTACTAGTGATAATCTTACCTGAAACGGTAAAGCAACTATTTGAATCCTTGCGTAACCAAAATGTTTGGCAGTAACACCGGCCATTGTTCTATAACACTTAGATGTTTGAGTATGTTGACCAGTTTTTAGTGTATGACTAACCTTTGTAGAAAGGATGGAAAACGCTGTAGCTAACAAAAACAATCATTTCTTCTAAAGATCTGCAACCTTCTTGATTCTATTTCTACTTACCTTTGATCTGTAAACATTTGAAAACTTTGAATCTTTTGAGATTAACCCTTTGATATGACGTTTTAGAGTTTCATCAGTGAAGTGTTCTGCTAATCGTAAACATTGTCTGTTGCCTGATTCGTTTCTTGCGTTCTAAGGGAGACGTACGGTGATAAGAGTACATGTTCATTGCACTAGATTCTCTTTCATCACTTTCAAATGACTTCATGACTGCCTGCAAGCTTTCCTTTCTTCAACTGGCGGCTTCCAATTGTAGTTTCACTCGAAGCCTCGGTGCCTGATATTACTCAAAAGTCTTCTCAGCATGTCTAGTTCATTTTCACTCTCGTCTGCATATCTGTGGTTCCTTGTTGCTTATCCTTTCTGGTTGACCATCTGATCTTCAGCATTGAACCAGAGAAGGCATTAGTTGTTGAACGCATGAAACAGCTTGTTGGAAATGCTTCTGTAGATACACATGCAAAGTCTCTGAATCGTAAAGATACACTGGCTTTATCTTAGTTTAATGCGTACTGTAGATCTTTACACGGATTTAAGAGTAATCAACGCCTGTGTTGCTTTCTTCACAATCGACTTAGTATGTTGCATTGTAATTGTTATATATATTCATCTAGATGGATCAGAAACACATCAATCAAGTAAACTTTAATGTTCACATCTGAATTCCTTTGTTTATTTCTTACTTGAAACGACTTTACAAGCTAACATTGTTCAGCTGATCAGTCATACTTTGTGCATGGTCTTTGTGTGTGGTCTAACACCTACTTGCAAATGACTGTCTTTTCTTGAACAATTTTATTGCGTTTTATCCATTAATGAATTCTTTAGAAGAAGATGTTTAAATCAACACGAATTACTTCCAACCAGATGAGTTATACACATTCGATTGACTTTATCTAAATTCATCTTTAAAAAAAATTACTATTTCATTTCAGAAGTAATTCAGATGGAAATATGGATGCTATTGTAGTCGAGATAGCAGTGAAAAAGAAGACTGATGATAAACATTCTGTAAGTTGTCTAGGTTTTAATCAATTCTCTATGCTTTCATCTTTATATTTTCACAGCATATAGAAATTACAATGTAACAGGACTATATATTGGCAGTATAGTTAAGAGTTCTTATCTGCTTCGAAGAAATTGAAATTTAAGTATTGGTTTGTTGAGATTTGGTTGATTGGTTACAGGATTTCATCATGAGCTGACATTAGTTAGAGAACCATTGGAAAACCTGGGAGTACTGGACAGCTGTTCCGTCCTAGTTTGGGAGTCTTTAGCAGTGCGCATTCACCGGGATTCGAACCCAGGACCTTCTGGTTACAAGGCGAGTTCGTATACCATTAAGCCAATGGGACCCGATCTAATGGCCCATGAATTCTAACTTCTGCCAATTCACGATATAATGCAACCGCTAGCCAATGTCTTTGGCGAGCATTTGTCCTTACAGCCGACCTGCTGCACCCTACTGGCCACGACTTCCCACTGGAACCCCAGGTAACTACTTACCTGAATGGAGCCAGTCGCCAGTGAGCATCTCATTGATATTCAAGTATTGGTTTGTAGGGATTTGATTGATCCCTACAGTAACTTATATAAAGTAGTCTAGATTCTTTTGAAAACAAGTTTTAAATTAGTATGTACCATGAATTGTTGAATTAAAATAACATCAAAAATGAATACAACTGAACAGATATTTTGTGGCCTGTTTTTATCTTAAGTATGCTATAGTAAACTATGAAATAACTACAAATAACGTGGATAGATTTGAAAAGGTTATATTCAAACAAAGAAAGCTAATATCTACAAAATTAAAGACATTGTACAATAAAATCCAACCTACTTTTCAGTGTTACTAAAGCTTATAATATGCTTCTTTAAATGACTACTTCATTCTTTGTAGTAACATCAGAATTGATTTCAGGTGGTCTGTTTTATGGAGATTAATATCTGAGTATTTCAGGGTTTTTAGCAGTTATCCACCATATGATTTGTAGGTCGATCCCCAGCCGACGCCCTCCTTTACCTCGCTATGCTGGTAGTAAGGCCGGTAATGAGAGAAAGTTGGATGTGAGGCTAGCAGCCTCATCTCGTAAAAATGAAACCAGTCCTACCAAAATTTCATAGCCGAAGCTTGAAGCCCTTTGTCCCACTCGGAATTTTAAGGAATCATACAAAATGCTCTATGTTCACAGCCAATTTATATGTAACATTAAATGCGATTTAAAGTTATCATAAGGTTTTCATACAATGATTCCCTTTTATAAATTTGAACAAAGAGAGAAGAAACATTGGCGCAGAATAATCTGGATCCACTTTATTTCGTTGGTTCTCATCAGCTGCGTACAACCTGAATTTTTGTTATCAAAAATAAATAGTGTACAATTTTTTAACAAACCTTTGTCCATTAGCAAGCATAGTGTCAGAGCGTCGTCGTAAAATAAGGCATTGAGATTTACAGAGTGTCTAAAGTGTCACGATATGTATATATGTATCTTGGTAGAGAGAAGTTTCTTGAAAAAAATTAGTTAACAGTTGTGTTGTTAGGGTGATAACAAAAGACAATTAGCAATAGTTGCGTAATCAGATAAGAGAAGATCAAAATTTTTTAAAATTACGGTGCAAATCAGGTCAGATGAGAAGTTGATGATGTAATACAGTGAGCAGAACTCAGAAGATCAAGAAAAATTATCTCTTAAGAGAGTCAAACGAAACATAAAGGGGAGGGGTGGAGTGAAAAGATAAGTTAACAAAATTAACAAAATTAGAAAACAAAGAGTTACTAAGAAGTCAGTTACCAGTGTAATTGAAAAGAAATTGTACACTGTTTATTTTTAATAACAAAAATTCAGGTTGTACGCAGCTGATGAGAACCAACGAAATAAAATGGATCCAGATTATTCTGCGCCAATGTTTTTATCATAATGTGTTTGTACGTTTAGTTTGATGCACAAAGGAAGATAGATTGTGATAACTGTGTTAAATAAATTAAAGGGAACACTATTCATTTTGAAGTGAACTTCTATTTAGTTTCCTTGAGGTCACTCATCATGTTATCTTAGAAAAATCGGAGATTTCATAATACAATATCGAAATGGAAATAAATTAGCTTATCATTGTTTTTGAACTTCTGGATTGTTATGGATAAATCTGAATACTAATGGCAACACCATTATGATATAATGAACTCAATTCGTCTGAAGAATTGGTTAAATAGTATGTACTTGTGAAATAAAAATAATCATTGGATAAATTATACGAAAATGTGCTAATAATATCTAAAAACACTTTTTTTTAACAGGATTATTATTTTCCTATGAATATTTGGCGAGAAAATTGTCGTGTTCCGACAAGAATATATCGACGTCTTTCTGATTTAGAAGAATTAGAAGCTCGTTTACAAGAGAATTTCCCCAGTTCAGTTGTTACAAAAACTGTTTCACATATAATCAATTCATTGAATTCTATTAGTATCAGTTCAAGTCGATCACAAGATCATGTTCAATCATTAGTTGACAGTGTACTTTCAGATGATGAAATTGTGTCCAAAGTAAGTTTTTATGTGAATATGTTTTAATATCAATTTCATTGTAAACCAAGGAAGATCCATTGAAAACTAAAATTCACGGAACAGCTATTTATTTCTAGTTTTGAACTTTCTTGCGTTGCTCACCTGTGCGTTAGCCGAGATCGAACCTGGCACCTTCAGGTTACGGGGCCAGCTTGTTGACCTTTCACCAAAAAATGATTGGTTGGGGACAATAGAGCGTATTCTGAATGCCGTATGTAATGTAAATCTTGATTGTTATCATTAAGTAATAGTTTGATTAACAGTGTTCACAGATCTGTTCATGTTGTTACATAATGTATGAGTTTTTTTGTGGAAACTGAATGCAATTAAGTTTTTGATTAGGTCCGAGGGATGTTTGGTGCATAGTATGTCGTTGGTTCAGCAGCAGAATGCTCGCCAACTATGAATGTCGTCCAGGGTTCGCTTCGTGGCTGGTGCACCCTTTTACCTTCCTTAGCTGTTTGTAACCCTAACAAACAAAGAACGTTGGGTGTGTGGCTAGACACTCCATCCCCTAAATACATCACTGCTACTGAAACTTCGAAGCTCTACCTTAAAGCCTTATGTTCCACTCGGAATGCAAAATAAAATAGATAATGTTTGTTGCCTCGAATGGGTTTAAGTATCCTTCTTGACCCTCTAATTTTATGATGCCTTGGGTATATAAAACTTAGATAGATTGCAAACATAAATTATTTTGTTATACATTATACATCCTTGTTTCTGTTACGCTGCATCTCCACCAGTTTCTTCAAACTACATCACCAACTACAAATTAAAGTTTTTGTTGTCAGCATGTCAGATCATAACGGACAAAAATGTAGCCTGTGAAGACCGCCACATCCATCATCTGAGTTTTATGCTAAATTTCCTCAAATCAAATTCAAAATCGAGTTGTGTTTCCTCACTTTAATAGACTGACATTGTCGGAAAACGTTTCTGCTCTTTTTTTTTAGATAGAAATACTATTTACGTTGATCTTACATTTTTGTACAGCTGCGATTTTTTACCGCTGAAATTTTCTTTCATATACCTTCCGTATATTTACTGCTTTCAATTGGCTTGTCTTTTTAATTACAATATAGTTGTGTATTATTAATACTGAGCTGAAACAACTTTTGTGATAAGCATTTATGATGTGTGAAGTAGTCAGTTTGGTCAGATAACATGGGTACTTATCTGTCAAAGGTTTAGTGTTCAAACAGAGTAATTACTTTTGTTAAGTTGACTTGTTGTATACACTGAATAATGCCACATGCTTGTGCGATATCATTTCACTTTTACACCTGTCATAAGTTTTTTAAACTATTTATGACAAAGTTTCTTCATCATTTTCAGTTCATATAGTCAATCAAAAATCTAACTGCTATTGCAGAAACTTTCTTTATGTTTTCCATACTAGTTGTATTAATTAAGTAACTATGTTATCACATGTTAATGGTATTCACATAAATGTGCTTCCACCATATGGGATCATGGGATTAGTAATGGCAAAGTATAGATCATCATGGGTGTTTTAAATCAAACGCATGGGATTTATCCATGTAACTGATATCCGTGTAGTTGTGTGTACTATGATAATCCGACTAGATGGCTGGAGGCAATCGGCAGGAAGCCTTGCACGACCTAGATTTCGTGCTATTTGGTACTCACCAGTCAGCAAAGTGTATCTGCAACCTTGAAGGAACTCATGTCCCTTCTGAAATTACAAACCACGTCACCCAGCTCAATCGTGAGCCCGAATAGCTCAGTGGTAACTTCTCTGACTGCAGCACTAGGTGACGCAGGTTCGAATCTGAGAAGGGATATGAGTTCACCTTGCTGACGAGTGCCATCTAGCACGAAACCTAGTTCCAAGGCTTCCTGCCAATCGCCTTCAACTATCTGATATCATCAAAACAATGTGCAGCATGATGGTGAGCCACCTAGAATGGTGGTCACATTGCAAAGTTGACTGATAGAATTCAGTCTGCAAGAAACAAAGGATTAGACAAATTACACTAGTTACTGACTAGTGTTCAATCAAAAGTACTTCAGTTTCTGTCTAACTTTACCAGTCATTTTGATACGAAATCTAATTAAACTATTGAGTGTGCATACCTTCACCCCGTATTTTTCTAATTAAATATATTAGGTGTTGTAAGAATAAAATATCTTTTCCCCATTTCTCCATGATATTTACTTATATCTGTCTTGAATTTACACGTTTCGTTAGGCTGCTTTCAGAAATTACTAGAAATTATTGAATTTATTATGATTTGTTTCTCCCAATGATTATGTTGGTTACTGTTCAACATCATGACAACTATATGCATCTTATTTCTTACTTTGAAGTTACTTTTAATACCTGATATGCTTTTTTTGTAACTTCTTTTTATTTTTGTAGAGTGATATTGTCTACACATTCTTTCACAGTGTATTATTCGATGAAAGATTTGCTGCTGAAGACATGTCATCACAAGGTTAGTTATTGTATTTGGTTGTTGACTTTTTAATAATAAGTATTATGCCTGTCGCATCGTCATTTTAAGAACAGTTGATATATAGTTCTACTGAAGTAGCACTTTTCTTCGAAAATGCTATCACATTTTGTGTTTTTATTTCTTTCCCAGTACATTTTAGAGTTTAGTCTATGACCTTACTGTAATAAAGCATCCAGAAAAACAGCATAACGGAAGTGTTCCAGCATTTCTTTATTCCACCTTGCCAAATTTTATAGATCTTTGATTGTTTTTATCAATGTTTTTCTAAGTAGCCCTGCAATGATTATGCTTACATGGTTCTTTCACAAACCAAAAAGCAACCAACAGCCGCTCCACTCGGCGTAGACATCTCTTATGGAGCCCAAGACGGGCGAGTTGTTTAGCGAAAATAAACATAACAAATGTGTTGCAAAAATGGAGTAAATAAATTTTTTTTTAAATGAGTGTATCAAACTAACATCTGCTAATCATCATCAGCTTCCAGGATTATGTATTAAAAGGTTATTTTACTCCTTGGTCTAAATTACTGTTAAGCAAGAATGATGATATTGACATCAAGATAAAAAGCTGGTCATGATGGCAGTTGTAAATGAAATCGTCTTTCATCTGAGTACATTAAATGTGCTATTTAATTGTATACGCTGTGTTTCTTTGGAAAGCCTATTTCAATGAATATCATATATGTGATACTTTTAAGTCCCTCAGGAGATAACTGGAGCAACTGACGCCCTTTTAGTTAGCAAATATATAAGCGGCTTTTTCAACCCAGGCAATTAATATTCCACTTCTGATTAGCCTATCTATATTGGTGTTATGTTTTTTAAACGATGTATGTTAATCGACATGTAGTACAACACAGTGACTTTTATCGTTAATGAGCCGCTTTTATGTTTCTTCTATGCATTCGGAAAATAAATAGTCAGAAAGAACAGTTGTTTTCGATAAATTCTTCTTCAAGCTCTACAGTTATAAATCCATTAATTTTAGCATACACTAACCAAGAAGTTTATTGAGGTATAAGTACACGATGGAATAATAGTCAGCGACTTCTGATCATTATTGCAATACACATAATAATATAGTCAATAAAAATACGGGACAGAATGAAATATAGTAATTCATTAATGTGTTTGTGTATATATAATCAAAAAAACGTAATGGTTTGAAGGAGTGAATGTAATCAGTAGTACGAGAGAAAATATTAATAATACAGAGGAAATAAGCCAACAAATGGTATAGACTAGATGTAAGTTCAACGATAATTATGACAAAATGAAAATGAGGGTGTTGTGTAAACACAAAAGTACTATTAGTGAAACATTATTGAGTAATAAAAAGATTAATAAAGTGGAATGAAAACAAATATATGAATACAATAAAAGATTTTAAATATTTGGAGGCAATCGGGAGGAAGCCTTGGACCTAGGTTTCGTGCTAGTTGGCACTCGTCAGCAAGGCGTATCTGCAAACTTAAAGGAATTCATATCCCTTCTAAGATTTGAACCCGTGTCACCTAGTTCTGCAGCCAGAGGCGTTACCAGTGAGCTATTAGGCGTCGCTATTGACCTCCTGTAGGACTGCATTGGATACCTCAATTGGACACATCACACTAATTACTAGTGTCCAGTCAAAGTATACAATAAGAGATTTGCAAAGCATCACATAAGCCTGGGGTAATAGACATAGTGAGGAAGATCATGAAATATTAAAATATCTGAAGTAAAAGTTTTTTAATGAAACAGAAGGAGAAAGGAAAAGAATGAAATGGGTATTTAAAGTGATAATTTTCAATGCTTATTAAGGATTTGTTGACCTTACTTCAGGCCAAGGTAAACAGAGCGGCCGAATATGTATTTTTCTGGATACAGACACCAGGTCTTCTGGTATTTATTATTGCCGCTTTGACTACTGATAGATGACCGTGTACACGTGTACACCTGTACCTTCTTGCTGACCATATACACACAAAAATCTCACCTAATTATTTCACCTAATTTTATCTCATGTTCTTATTGACTATATATTTTATATGCATTGCAATGATGATCAGAATTCGCTGACTATTATTACATCTTGTACTTGTACATCAATAAACTTCCTTGTAACTGTGTGCTAAAATTAATGGATTTATAATTGGAGAGTTTGAAGGAGAAGTTATTAAAAACAGTTGTTTGATCTAATTAATGTTCATCTGAAGAAATTATGGGGGCATGAGAATTTCTTCTATTTGTTGTACCTTCATCTTTGTCCAAATTTATGCAGTTTCATCTTTTCTTTAATATTATTATTCCCTTGGGTTACGAGTGGAACATAACACTTCAACAACACACCTCCACTTTCTCCTGTTTTCTCCTGTTCTCTTCAGCTGGGTCCACCGTTGATCATAATCTCTCTTCCCTTCCTCACATGACCTCTTCCATTCCACCTTCGCACCAACGAACTACTCGTCACTTCCCAGTGAGATTGCACTTGCCACCTCAACGTATCTCCGACCCATCTCCATTTTCTCCTACATATTTGTTGAACAATCGGCTCTTGGTTGGCTTCTTGTCAGCCAGATATTCTTGTTGCTGATTCTTTCTGGCCGGCCGGTCAGTCGTTTGATCTTCAGCATGGAGCCATCGAAGGAGGCAGCAGTTGATGAAAGTCTGCTGTGAGTTGTTGGAAATGCTTTTCGTGGCGAAAAGGTAGTTCGAGTTTCTGATCTGTATGGAAGCAGTAATCGACTTCACATTTGTGTTGAATATCCGAAGCTTGTTCTTTGTTAAGGCTACGGAGTGCAGAAGATTTCCAAACTGGCTTCAGGTTGACAAAAACATATCTTGCTCTTCCCATTCTGACTTTGATATCTTCATCCGTTCCGCTGACTTTTGTTGAAACCGTGCTTCCTAGATAAGTGAAGGAAGTAACTTCTGTCAAATCTGTCCTGTTGATGGTGACTGGTGGTGATTGTTGTTGAGGTTCGTTGGTTATCTTCATCACCTCCATCTTCTTTATGTTCACTTGCAGTCCTGTCTTCGCTGTTAGCCTATTCAGTTGGTGTGTTGGTTTTCGCATGCAGTTTTCGAGTTTATGTCACTCTAGATATAAATAATCCACACGCGGAATCCAGATCTTCTAGAGTCTTCTTATCGGTGGTCCAGCGTATTCTTGTCTTCTCATTCTCTGTGCAGAGTCTAACGCATAACCCAGTCCACTACAATTAAGAATATCATCAGTGATAGCACACAGTTGGCCTTGTCTTACTACTGTATGCACTTTTAACGCCTCACTGAGTTTTCTGTTGTCATTGTCACATAGTCAGCTGTTGAATGAGGTTGATAAAACTCTGGGGTGCCGCACACCGAAGTGTTGAAGTAGTTTCCAAATTACTTCTTGGTCAACGTTGTCTTTCGAAGGCCTTTTCGAAGTCGATGAAGTTGAGGTCGAGAGAGATTTGACTACCATTCTATGCTTTTTTCGATGATGATGCGTAGGGTTTTAATTTAATCAGCACATGATTCATGTTTTCTTTGCTTATAGCTTATTAATTCTGCTGTTTTAGTTCAGAGGAAATATTTTATCTAATTTTCATTAGAATCACTAAGCACTGCTTACAAGAGGTTTTAGGAATTAAGGATAATAAACTGTGTTAACAACTATCGTAAATTTTGTTCAGAGGACCAGAATTAACCTTCTCTAATAAATCCGTTTTGTTGGTTGTTAATAACAATAACACATTCATTGATGTGTCTTGATAGCAACAGAAAAAAGAGCGATTATTGTCTTGTCACAGTTAGAGAAAATCTTTAGTTGAGAATTTAAGATTGAACATTACAGTAGAAATAGTATAAATGAAGATGACATTTACCTATATGCAGTGTGGCTGGTAAAGACAACACCTGTAATCTAATCTGGATAGAAAATAATAAAGTTTATGGCGATTCTAGGCATTGGACAAACCTTTTGTGTATACACAAATGAAATAAATCGCCAAATGGCTGTTGCTGTTTTCAAGTACTACTGATTGATTTAACTCATCTTCAAGTCCTCAAGTCATCTCACCGTGCTCAATAGGTTTTGATTTATAGACTATAATGAAACCTCACTACCAGATTTACATGTGTCGTATGCTACTGATAAGATTTATCAATAGTATATGAATAGATGTTCATCGGCACAAAAACATTAAAAAGGGGAGAGATAGATTTAACATCAAAGAGAGAGAGAGAGAATGAAGCAGTATTGCAGCAAAACATGGAAGACACGGAAAGAATACAAAGAATCATAATTGGAAGGGCAGAAGTAGCACAACACGGAATATCCGTGCAAATGACGATTTTCGTAAAAGGTGTACATATTTTCAATATATGTATAGATATCAACTTCTCTCTCATCACATTTAGTGTCGTCTCTTTATAGACTACTGATAAATCTTGCCAGTGGTACACGCCACATAATCACATGCTGCACTAGCACTTCACATTAAGAAACCTTACTAATATTCATTCTTTCTTTTTGATAAGAAAGATAAATGCTTCTGTACTGTCATAATACTTCTGCTGATCACAACCAAGTGTAGTTTGGTGGGAAATTATACCCTTATACACTTATACCCTCTCCGTTGTTTTAATAAGAAAGAAAAGTAATTAATGATGAACACTGCCTAGTACTCTATCACTGACAGAAGAATAGTCTGTGATTAGTATTCACCATAATCTTGAAGTATATTATTTGAGACATATATATATATATATATATATATATATATATATATAGAATAACAGTTTAATTTCTATATACCAGTATATTTACATTGTCCACATTTATCACAGAGGAAATTGTAAAGCCAGACTGCTACAGTTTGGTGCTCTTCGGTGATTGGCTTTCGCGTGTCCTTCTTTCTTGCTCTGAGGTGTGGTTGTCGAAAGCAGAAAACGTGAACAGTTTAGATCTCTCTGACCAAATTTGTTTTCGTTCTACCTCCCATGTTAAGTTAT